TAAGTGACGTTATCGTGTGCAGTCACTGAATTCTTGCATCATACCCCGGCCACATGACAAAATTAATGTAATGTCGATCGAATGACATTATGGGGTCGACAAATCCGCTTGCGGCGCTCGTATATTCACTCAAGACCGCGAGCTGATTAAATCCTATATGACTGAATGAAAATATATTAACTTTTCCGTGTGGCAGGGGTACTAAACGTACTACTTAGTCTACTAATTTACCTCTCCCTATGGGCTCGAGCTGTCTTAGAACAAAACATAATTTATTTTGTATATAATAATACTATTACCTCAATAGTTAAGATTCTAGTATAAACGCGGTAAAGGCAATACAATAACCTTAGTATAAATAAACACAGAACCACAAACAACGCACTTTCAATAATCACACAAACTTGTTTTTCACCTTCCAGTTAAAACTAGATTACCGCGCATATTTACAAATGTCGACGCAACTGCCTACGAATAACGACAAAGAACAAAATTGCAATCTATCATGCGATTAAAAAAACGATCAGCATTTTACTTGCGTCCTACATGACCAAGAAAGCCCGTAAATAAGTTGTTTCTCACCTGTCGATCGTATCCATACGTCCCACAATATTCGTGACGAACACATTTGAACACGAACTCCAAGCCTCTCTCTGTCGAGAGAAGGCTATCGATTAATCGACCAGAGTCTTCGTTGGCTAGTTGTCACACGTCACTCGAACCGTAGCAGGACTTGTTTCACGAATCCACGTAAATGCCGTAGTATCCAAGCGAACACAAAAAAAAAAAAAACCGCGACTACGGTGATGACAGAAATACGACGGGAAACAAGGCTCAAAAGTACCACACACGAGAGCAGCGGTTAACGTTGTCGACCCATCTCTTGCTGGTGTGCGCTCCCTGCGACAATGACTGGATTTCCTTTCGGTTTCCTTCCCTTCTGAGATGTCTCAGCGTTCCTTTTCAGACAGTCAGCAGCTCACGCACAACTTAAATTTACCAGGATCGGAGCCATGTGGCATTGGCAGCATCGTAGCCGGTCCTTTCGAAAAGTGTGGGTTGCTGCGGAACTGCACGTAGTCCCGCGGTTACGGGGATACTCATAAATATAAATTTGGTACTCTCAACCTTGGAAGCGCGTTGTATATTACGTTTATGTTATATATATAATAAATTGTACAAGACTGCGCCTTTAAAACGTATATTAATGTCGGATAAACGCGCATGAACGAACACCACCGCGCCGCTTGTCAAGGATCATTTTTTTTCACGTCGATAGCGTATTCTCACGTAGTTGCGCCATGGACTTCCTTCCTCCGCCATTGTGACGTAACCTGTCAGAGCGCTATGGCCTTGTCTTCTAGGGGGTGTTGTGACAGTGCAGCAGGGGTTGCAGGATTCACTTCTGAATTTGGCGGGCGTGTAACCGTTTTTCGGAACGCTCTTCTGTCACGTTTTTTATTTATTTATTTACTTAGTTATTATGCCCACAAACAGCTTACATCACAACGAAGAAAAAAACGCAGATCAGACGTTCTTACACTTCATACGTAACTCTAGTAAATAAAATAAAAATCCACGTGTCATGTCGCAGCTTAAACATTACCATTGTTTTAAGCATAGAATGCTATTAAACGCAACCCCTCCCCCCCCCCCCTCCCTAATTATGTCAGTCCGTCCGTCCCTCCGTCAGTTTCACGGGACCTACACACCAATTCAGTGACCCCGCTAAATTTAGCGGGAAAACTGATATCACGCGACCTGTTGACCAATTCAAATTTCCCGCTAAATTTGGCGGGAAAAGTGATATCATATGACCTATACAGCAATTCAGGTTCCCCGCTAAAGTTGGAGGGAATTTCACGTCACGTGATCTGTACACCAGTTCACTTTCCCCGTTAAATAAGGCGGGAAAATTTATGTCACGTGAACTAAACACCAAATCAGTTTCCCCGCTAAATTTGGCGGGAAAATTGATGTCATACATTGTCCCTTGTCCCTACTGCTGTTAACAAAATTGTATTTTTTTTATCTTTCTTATTTAATCTTTTTGAAACAAACGGCTCCGAAGTCAACACCCGTCACCCGACACCTAGAGTGGGGGGAATTCCTCGAAGGCTCGAACAGATCCCGAACCGCGAGTCCGCCCGTCGTAACTGCTGCGGTCGTGGTTGCGGCGACCGGAGACCCCCCAAGGATCAATCTGGGTGTCGTGTTCTCGCGGAGGACGCCATAAGGCAAGTTCGAGATCCCGTGGCACTTGCGGGTCCCGGCTTTTGCTTCGCTTTGTTTATTTTTATTTTATTTCGCGCTTTCCGGTTTTGCTTAGCTTTTATTGTTTATCTTTTGTTATTTACTGCGATAGATGACAACCGAAGAAGTTGTGCTACGTGGACATTAAAAACAAACAAACAAAACAGTTAATATGTGTTATTTCAATCGCATAAATCCCGATCCTATAAAGAGTTTTTGTTAATTTAATGTAGAGTATCAGAAACAGGTTAATAGAAAAGTGGAATAAAGAGAGGAAGAGCCTGAAAAAGAAAGAAAACAGATATAACAGAAAGGGAAAATTAAGCCCTCCTTAAATGCCTATACCAAGCTAAATCACCTAATAAAACTACTAGAATAGGCTGTGTAAATTATGGCTTTGTGCGGAGAAAGAACACAGGTTTTACTGGGAATATCCACTCCTCTTCTTTTCTTAAAGTTACTCCTTTTTATCAGTCTTCTTGCGTTTGATTCATTCAGAATTCTCGTGTGTGCTCATTATATTTCACGAAATATTACGCATATGGGGAACATATTTTGAAGCATGTGATTCAGAAATTTAGTGAAGCATATTCAAGGTCAACACTTGACAAAATATTTCTGCTCAAAGGAAATAAGGAAGAAAAAGAAAACCAAGTCCTAAATTACGGCTTTCAACGCATCACCAATAAAAAAAAACATCTTGCAGAAGAAAGAAATCACGAAAAAAAAAATACTGATCCTCAACGGCCATAGCTATAGTCACATGCGAAGAGGTCGAGCAAGCCATGGATACCTTCGGTCCTATAGATTTAGGACTTGTTTAGATTTCATTATTTGATATTATTTATGGCTTTTAAAGGAACTTTTTTTCTGTCTTTGTCTTAATGGAGAGGGTGTCGCTGCACGGTCTCAAGTACAGTCAGCACGGAATGCAACCCGAAGGACGGAGCTCATGGCCATCGACAAAGGCTGCTCCACCTGGAGGGCCCCTGAGAACTAATGAAAATGCGCTGAAGTTCGAGGGTACGGGTCCTACTGAGATGTGCTCAACCCTCGCGCGGCGCGTCTGGGACTTCCGCGTTTCGCCGGTGGTGCGCTGTAAGCGCCGTTACTCTAACCGCTCATTCAAACTGGAAGCGGATCCGCGTTCGCAAAGCGGTTGCGAACGCCCGGTTGTATAAAAATCTTGTACAATTTCACGCGCACTCGATGACATCAGGTGCGCGTGCAATTATACTGGATCTTTATACAACCGCGTTCGCAACCGCTTTGCGAACGCGGATCCGCTTCCAGTGTGAATGAGCGGTAAAGCCCCTTCATGTTTCAAAAGTAGCGCAAGGTTCGTCGATGCACAAGGCACGTGCAACGTTCAGCCCTTGAGAAGATTATGGCGGCACAGCGCACCACTGTGCAAGATTTCAGATGCCATGAATTTCCCAGAAGTGGCGCGTGGCACGTGCCTCGAGCATTTCTACAACAATGAATGGCGCCACTTTTCCCAGGATATAGCGGCTTCACTTCACTCGGGGCGGCTTTTGAGTCGCCGCACTGTCGCCCGGTCGACACCGGGCGACCATTTAACCTAGCTATTAGCGGCGAGATGTTTTGGTGGCGCCCTCCTACGGTTCCCCCTTGTGACGTCATTACCTTGCAAACAACAAGTTCGATGGTGTTTGTTATTAGCATGGTGGAAGCTTGAAATCATTGCGCTCCAAAGGAACACTGCCAACACCGTCAAAATTAAAGTTCTTTCATTCCTCTTATTTCCGTCGATGATAGATCCCCTTTCCGACGTCATAGTCAGCGTTCGGCCAATCGTGGAAGGCCGACCACAGCGACGCTTTCCGTCACGGGGCTAATAGCTCTTCGTGATAGGCCCTGCTCAGACAGGGTGATGAATTTATTCCGATCCGGAATGGATACGCCTGGCATATCGGTAATTACCAAAGAGAGCGTCACCGAGTAATTCCTTGCTTTTTATATGAATCGACTGATAACTTTGTACGAAAACATGCGCATGCCTTATAAAAACTGATGCATCCGCGTCGGTTTGTTGCAGCAATTCTTTTTTATAGATAATATGGTAGTGCCAGTAAACGAATTTTATTTCGCGTCTATAGCGTTTCACTATTTCTCAGAAACCGCGCGTGGCACGTTGTTCACCGGAGCCTCCGCGTGGTTCCGTTGACACGTCATCAAGCACTGCGGGTCTTCTGTGCACGAAATGTTTCAACTTTTACTTCGCCCTTGCGATACACAAAGAAATAATTATTGATAGCGCGGAAGAGATATCGCTGGGAATCTGCTACACAAAGCGAATGACGACGCTTTGTGTATCGGACGTGACGGCGCTTACAGCGCGCCACCGGCGAAACGCGGAAGTCCCAGATGCGCAGCGCTAGGGTCGAGGTCATGTTAGTAGGACCTGCATCCTCGCACCCCGGCGCATTTTCATTAATTCTCATGGCCCCTCCAGGTGGAGCAGTCCGTGCCGATGGCCACGCGTTCCGGCGTTCGGGTTTCATTTCGTGCTTACTGTACATATTATTACAAGAAGACAAAATTATCACGACACGTGAACATAAGACAAATTGTAGCTTAGAACAATTTTAGAACTTTGACTAGTCGCTAAACGTAATATCCGGAAACACTGTTTTAATAATAATAAAACAAATGAAAAAAAAACATCTTTGCGGTTGAAATAAACAGGTCATGAAATTTTGAACGTTGTCTTTATTTTGCCTGGATTACGCCGATTTAACTGTATATCCCAGCTTAATCATGTGATCTTTAATCCAGCTTGTGAAGGTAGACAACCTGACATAGTATCCAGTTCCGTTGGCACAAATTTGGCCAAATGAAACAATTCCGACCTGGACAGCTACATTTCCTTTTTCCTGAGATGCGGGGCCACCGGAATCACCCTGGAATCAATGAAATAAACATCTAAAACTTTAAATATATCCTTGCAGCTTTGCATTGTTCTACAAGGCAGCTATTAATGAAAACAGAACTTAGCAGGTGATAAAACGTCAATACATGTCAGACGATCCGAAAGAAACGACGGTACGTAATGTTTAATTAGTATGTTAGAGAGAAGTAACATTCAACTTACTTCTCATTTGGCAATTACCTAAATATTTCACTGCGCAAATTCGGATAGCAATACAAGTAAACAATATATATGTGTTCATCTGACAACAGGCCCTAGTAAAACAGTTATCACAACCTGCAATCACATGAGTTTTTATGCATTGCAACAAAGCCTACCGCTGTCAGTTCTTTTTTTTTTTCAATCTGTCAGTTGCGTAACCTTGAAGGGATTTTTTGTTGCCACAAGGTTATAACACTTCAAATAATAAAAAAAAAACATTGCCCTAACCTTCGTAAATATTAATTGCAATATTTATTTCGTGCTAATATTATTCTTAATCTAATTTTTGTTTTGATGAGTTGAAGTTTTTCAAGTCAGTAAGACGAGAATATTAGCTTTCAGGTCAACACGGAAGCGAATACTCAAATAAGCACACCAGATGGGTCATCGTGTGCCACCACCTGAAACCGACAAAAATCGTTCTCATAATATCAAGTTTGGGCAGAACCCCTTCCCCCCCCCCCCCTTTATCTTCAGACGTTATCGAAATTATAAAAAAAAAGAAAAGCATTATAGCTATCGTGACCGCAAAGTTTAATCAAATAACGCTAGTATTAACGTATTAATCAAATACACCCGACGCGCTTTTTGAGAAAATTTCTTCATGTGACACCGACATATGGCGCGAACGCGCGACCAGCAAAAATATTTAAAAGCACATTGGTTACCACTTCAAGGATCCTAAAACTAAAAAAAGAAACAGAATTAAACGTAGTGATCCCGCAGCCACAAGCGAAAAGCGCATGTCGTGTTATGGATGTAGCACTTGCTTTTGTATATCTGTGCTATGACATACGCAAGTTCAACAGTAGAGAATAAGAATCAGTATTTAAATTGTATGTACCACACACGCATCGATTCCTGGACGGTGGGCACAGAACATAATTGAATGATTATATGTCTTGTCGTGTTCAGTGCATATTTGAGATGTTTGGAGGGAAACTACTGCAGCCATTAATGAATCAGGAAACTGGCCATCTGAGACAAGCAAAACGAGGACACCACAATAAATCGGTTGGGTCAGGTAGAAAATTCTACATACAACTATCTTTCAAATATAGATAAACGAAATTCTTCAGGCGCTAAAAAATTCTCAAAACAGTTGGGTTATTAATGCCGTCATTATAAGGTTGTAGTATCCAGAACAACAGACAGAGATGCAGTACACTCTTCACTTAAAAAGAAGCTGAAACGGTATCTCCTAATAAGGTAATGCTTCTTTCTGGCGTAGTATTTTTTGAAGAATCTAAATATCATCATCATTTGACCTTAAAACGACATTAAACGTACTTTTTGTGATATTCGTGATGCTTGGATTCGGATTAAAAAGAATCAAGTGTTTTAATCAAATTCAAAACCGCTTCCGGTTCCCTTTAATAGTGGTTCCGTAAGAAATAAGCAATGTCAAGGATTAAGGACTATAACGTCCTGCACAAAACTATCGCAATTGTAAAATGCTACTGGCTAATATCAAACAAGAAACTGGCATCAACGACTATCTCAATTGGAACGCAGTATTTAAGAAGCGAAAGTTTGAATTAGCTGTAAAGACATCAACCGTCACGTGAAGTCACGGTAAGACTTGTTTTCACGTTACACCATGACGTCACGCGAGCTGTCGTAACATGAAGTGATTGCGTCACAGTTTCAAGTGGCAACGTGACGTCTCGTAAGGTAAGGGTGTAACGTTACGTCACTTTATTTGAACGAATTCATGTCCCGACTTTTCAAATATCTGCACAATACTTCATTGTCAGATGGCGGAGAGTATGGTACGTGAAATAAAAAAAATGCAGATATTAATATATCTTAAAAAAAGGCTGAAAAGCGTTAGGTAGAGCGATGGAAAATATTTCGGTTGTATACCACCGCGAAACAATTATCAAAAAAAAAATCAGCTGCTTTTTTTTCTAGTTGAGAACCGACTTTCTTTTTGTTTTTGCTTTACTAGATTTCTTTTTTTTTTTTGTTATAAATGGTAATGTACGTTGATACGTTTCAGATATAAGTCAAATATGTGCTTTACTGACAGAATGCATGCTTAAGTTACATTCCCGTGCTGTCTCTAACAACCTATGTGGTACCTTCCTGTAAACTTTGTGACGACACCCTGAAACGTACAAACATTTGGAAGCAAAGGCCGAAAGAAGAGTTTACAACAACCTCTCTCTTCGATAGTTCTGTCCTGCTCAAGAAAAAAATGCATTAATACACGGCACAAACGCTCTGTCTCCCGTGAGGGGAAAAAAAATCGAGAGCTCTTTTGTAGCGACGGGAGCAGAATTCGCAATTGCAAGAAAAGAGTATCGCACAAAGGCTAACTCAACTCACTATTAGACACAACTGAACTCTAGTCCCCTGCAACTGAAGAAGGTAGGGCGAGGGAAAGGGAGACCGGGGAGAAGGAAGCAGACGGAACACTGGAGAGGAGAGGGAAAATTCTCCTTCCCTCTAAAGCGGTCCGTCTGCCAACCCCCTAAGGCTTTCCTTTCCCTCGCCCTAACTTCTTGAGTTGCAACGGACTGTAGCAACCCTTAGTAGAACTCACTTTAATTTTATAAAAGTTACCTAATTTCTAAATCTGATCCAAGAGGCTGCGAAACTCTATTGCAAACAGCGAAAACGTGATTCCAGATTTAATAGGGAGACAGCAGAGCTTGTTCTCGAAGGGTTACAAAAACTTTGATGGTGTTAAATGAAGGCTGGGGAAGCTCACACGAGCCAAAAAACAAGCAAAAACATGCTAAATTGTGTTTTCAAAATCTCCACTCGACTTTTAGTAAAGCAGAAAATTCATACCGCGTCACCCCGCAGAACAGCAGAAGAAATTTGCATGTTGGTTTTGGTGTAATATTATCTGGGGCGTTTACTGAATAGCCATTTGTATTTAGCTATAATAACTGCATTATCGGAGAGTGGAACCTGGGGATTCTGAAATTGCGTTTAGTTTATGTACTTCAAAAACACGATGAGGCACGGTGTGGCATAACATGATGTTGCACCGACGTTTGAACACCGACCTCAAAGAAGTCGACACGACCTTTCCTCCCTAGCGTTACCTAAAAAAAGAAAATAAAGGGACGGGAAAGACGGACTACCTAACGTCCCTTACACCTCTCATCATGGAAATGTCTTGCACCTTCCCGAAACTTCCGACGCCATTCCCTCGCGGCGCTATTATTCATGCAGTTTTCACAATACGGATCAAACAGACTCTGCTGAATTTACGTGTCGTTGTTCTTTCCCTATCCTTAAAAAAAGAATTACAAGGTGCATCTCGCGCTTGGCTCCAACATCCGTCGTGCGTGCCATGCTTACATACACATTGGACGAACGGCAAGGTATGAAACGGTCAACAGTATGAGGGGTCACATCGGACCCATTGACACAACTTTTTTTTTATCATCAGGGCGTGTTAACACTGGCACTATTTTAATTATCTTTAATATTTGTTTAATTTATAAAATATTTCTAATCTTTTTACGGTGTGAAAGTCGTCCCCATCCGGCGACCAGAATGTTATTCGCCATGGAACTCGACTCGGGAAGGCAAATCGTTCCAATATATCCATGGCTCTTCTCCAAGTTGAATGGACGAGATAGCTTGATGAGCGCCACATCATTGGCGTAATGGGGGTGAGGTTCATAATCCTCGTGCAAAATGAACTCGCTCGCCTGAAATGTAAAAACATCACGCTCTAATAAATCGCAGCTATAGTTTTTAACTTAAAGCTTTACAAAAAACCATAAAAATCAGCCTGGTCAAACTGGCTTCTGACCACAAGTACTCGGTCGTATATTTGTTAGTGAAGACTACACAACATGGTCCAAAGAGATGTTCATGGAATCTCAAACTACTGCATGCGCGCTTCTCAATTTTTTTTTATCGAACCACTTTGCAATAATGCCTCGAAAGCCTTAGCACAGAGCGTTGTGCGAGTAATCAGCAAATTAAAACTTTACAGAATAAAAACAAACGCATTAATAAGCAACACATCGAATAACGATAAGACTGCCATGGCGAACGGCAGCTGCTGTAGATTTACCATTTTCTTGAACCACCTGAGACTGGGTGGAGAACTTGAAGAATTTAAAGTGGAAGGGACAGGAACGGAAAGACAGAAGGCGTCGCCTTAAAAATTTGAGACGGCGCCTTCTGTCTTTCTGTTTCTGTCCCTTCCAATTTTGCTTCTTCTAGTTCTCCACGCAGTCTCAGGTGGTTCACAAAAATGGTAAAAAACAAAATGAAGATGCTTTACAATAATAATATTTAAGAAAAAGATATAGAACATGACGAAAATAATCCCTGGAGAAGGGGAATAAGAGGGGTTAAGGACAAAGACAAATCTCCAAACACAGCTAGGTGACTGGTGCGCGACCGAAAAAATCCGCCTGGTCCGAGCATCGAACCCGGGACCACTCCATTACAGGCGGAGCGCTCTTTCAACTGAGCGAACCAGGGGTTAGACGTCAGTAGAGCACACGGGTTTTATCAGCGGCCACCAGTCTAACACCAACAAGGGTGAAGCTGGCAATTTAAGGTTATGATCATAATGCAATTAAATGCAAAGGTGCAAACGAGCTCGACAAGAGTGACGAAACTAATTATTTTCGTCATTCTTGTCCAGCTCGCTTGCACCTTTGCATTTAATTGCATTATAAACATATCAAACCAAATCAAAGCTTTATTTTCCAGAAACACTGGAAGGAGTCCCAGACAACAAGCTGTTAAGATAGCTTGACTGGGTCTGGGACCCTTATTACATGGCAGCAGCTTGGTAGTGCGCAACACTGCACTAGCGTAACATTTGATAAGACAAACAAAAAAAAATCGGAACTTTGTAAACATTATAACACTAAGTTAGGGAACAACGAAGATATAAGAGCGCAAGTCTCGTTTTCTAATCATGTATATGATTATGTTGTTTGTGAGGCATTTATTTAAAACAAGTGGTACGTTGTAATGTAAAGTTTGTAAGTTGTAGTTTGTGGGGGAACAAGGGAGGACCCGTGCTTTTTTAAGTTTAATGTTGAGTGGTAAAACGTTGCGACAACGAGAAACAATACCAACGATCCGAGAAATTTTAGCTGTTAAATAATTTACATTACAATCCCCCCGTCATATTCTCTGAAACAAAATACGCCTAAAGTTTTATGCTGGCTGACTGTTTCGATTGTCGACGTACCTAGTGTGAGAGTGTAATTTACTGAAGTGGGCTTATTTTTTTATCTAAATAAGATTGCTTTAGACTTCATTGTATTTACCATAAGGCCGTTAGTATCAGACCACAACGGAAATTCGGTAAGAGTAGAATTGGCTTGGCATAACAGTGTATCAGCATCAGCCGCAGAGAAAAACATACTCGTGTCGTCCACCATATATAACGAACTGCACTTGGTTATCGATGTATCGATAGAACATATTTTCCACTCACTAAAACTAAACACCGTTAGCATGCCTGTTCAATACGTTAGTTCAGTTATGCTCAGATCCATATACTTTTCAAGTGTAATTACGTATTTAGAAAAAAGCCCTCGATTTTATTTTTTTCACACGTAGAAACAACTTTGCTGATGTGGTGCCGCATTCGTAGATGGTCCGCGCCTCAGATATCTCATATGCTCTTGGATGAAAACAACTGGGTCAAGTAATAATAAGTATATTTTGTTTATTATGATGATATTCTTAGAGCATTTCATAATACATAATTCTAGTATTCAAGCTAGTTCAGTAAGATCGGATGGTCATTATCTGCAGGTGATGAAACAAACTAATCTCATAAGCGTCCGTTGCGCATACTCATAGAAACGAATGACGGCTCTCCTGCTTACAAATCGAACTTGTTTGCAGGGTCCCGTATTCTTAAGATTTATAAATCCAGCCTGAACTCTGGTCAATCTGGGTATCAGTCTGCAATGCAAAATAGGACGGTTAAACTTCATCCCTGCTCTACTGATGAAAAAACAATGCTCACTTTCCGAGGCAGTGCGCAGCTGTCAGAACCACGTCTGCCGAAATAATAGATCCACCACAGGAATGACTATCTTGTGCCCACTGGATGGATACCTGTACTTGGAAAACATAAAGCGAAACCTCGACTACAGTCAAGAACAAAGCAAAATTGAAACGACCGAGAGGCGCCTAACAGATACCGGTCAGGATGGCTCCTGCCCCGACAAATGTTGAACTAGCCTCGAGGGATAAAGTGCTGACCAGATTCTGGTGGCATGCAATTGGACTCAGCCTGGTGAGGCTTGTGAAGATCATGTCGTGGCTGCGCACGTGCTTGTTTACACTTAATATAGGCCTATTAATAGTTATATGGTAGTTTGCCTGTTCAACCACCGTTTTAACCGTCGACTGCGATTCGAAGGGGCCAAAGGCGATAAACGAGGCTGGTTCATGAGACAAAGAACACCACTGCTGCCAACAGCGAGACATCTTATATCGATATCACCAACAGGGAAAGGACGACATGGGATTGACGGGAATTTCTAATTGTCCCCTTTTGTATCGTCAGTTAAATGTTTTTTCTGTTGTTTTTTTTAATACACTTTGATACTATTTTCCAGCATTTTTCCCCGATTCTATATTCGGCAATCTGAAGGTGCCCAAACACCAAATTCTGGCACCTATTTGGCAATTACAGAAATGAGAGAAAACACACAAACAAAATATTTCCTGTTACAATACAGTGATGTCTCGTTAATATGGACACCTCGGTTTCCGTAAAAAATAGTCCATAATGTGGGTTGTCTATAATAACGAGACAAAATGCATGCATTTTCCCAGTTTTTCCCCGACAGTGGTGTCTATATAGCGGCGTATCAATATTAACGGGGTCCATATTGACGAGACATGACTGTAGTATGTACTGATAAGCAATACAATGCTTAGACCAATACAAAATGTTAAAAAATAAACAAATATGTTCTGCAGTCTCTGTTAGTCGGGTGTGACACCATTTTTTATAAAAACTCGTTTATTATAAAAAGTGCCAGTAAATATATTTTTTCTTTAACTAAAATGTATTAGTCTATCTTGAATAGGCAACAGATAAAGCCCTGAAAACATTCGCAAACCTTGCTCAAAAAGTTAGAGTTTCGCATTTTGTCTAAAAAATAGAAAGTACGACCAACCTTGCAAACTCATAAGCCATTTTAAAGTTTATTTCGAAAATGTCCCCAAACACACCAAATGCCGTAGCCAAGCTAAAAGAAAATTATCTCATCGTCAATTTACGGTCATAAATAAATATACGGGTTATAACCTCTATAAAAAGTCCAAGATTAGATAATCTCTCACTGGACCTTTCTACTAAATACGGAATCGAAGATCGCGAGACGCCTGTTTTTCCGCCATTTGCAACAGAACCCAGACGACGCAATCGGACGTGGGCCATCCAATCGTGGCGGATCGCTTTTCGCTCGAGAATCGCCACACATTCTTAAATAATTCCACCCTTGGTTGGACCAGTCAGCCCCCTTGCTGCGCGAAAAGCGATCGCTCGCGATTGGCTGTCCCACGATCGACGCCGCTTTCTGACTTTTGCGCTAAATCATTCAAAAACGGGTATGTGGCGATCTTCGATGCCGGTTTTTATAAGGAAAATCGGAAGCGTATCAACCTAATCTCGCGCCTTTGGGAATGCTCAGAGGGCGTTGATTGCGTGATGATTATAAATAGAGAATCTCAGAAGCCACTTTGCTCCACCTTTCTTTTGTCAGAAAAAAAAAATAGAGTTAATCATTTTTCCCACGACAGGAGATACTCTGGAATGACGTCAGTGGTTGCGTTTTTTAGTCCTTCATCATGCCTTACGCAAGAAGCTACTGGAAAATACTGCTTGAACGGCACTCCCCCCAAGAAAGTGTATTTAATAATAAATAAGAATATCCGACTTGATATGGCCGCAGATCTTTTTAGAAAATAGATCATAGCCTTTTTGAAAATAGTTCAAAAGAGCCGACTGTGCTTTTATAGTATATGAAATGTCAAATAGGTCACAGGGAAGAGCTTGCTAAAGATTGTAAAACATCGTCAAGTTCGATTGTTGTTTTCTTAACATTCTAAGATTTTGGTCCTAATACTTGTTTTTACGACATTGTTTCAAAAGATCCGCCTACATCAGCAAATCGAAGATGCATATAAGTGAAAAGGATACATTTTCATGTTGAAAAAACAGCGCGACTAGGCGAGGACACAGAGACGAAGAGAACACAAGTAATACAAACCAGTTGTAATACAAACCAGTTGATAGTCAGCGGTTTGTCTTGTGTTCTCTTCGTCTCTGTGTCCTCGTCTAGTCGCGCTGTTTTTTCAACATGAACTCTCACCAACTCGCCCAGTTATCTATCCTTATCGAGGATACATTATATGTCCCTTATCGACAGCAAATATATCAGCTCTCAGCTTGGTTGCTTCAATTGTTCACGACTTGAAAAACGTTCCGAAGACTATTTGCTCCCAAAATTGTTTCAAAACTTGACCCAGAATACACTTTTATCAAAATTAAAATCGCATTTTTTTATACTACCGAATGCAAAATATAATTCCCGATCTTTTGTTTTGTATATTCTGTAATACGTCGATATTGCATCAACAACGTAATTTCGAAATGTTTTATTTTCTAGTGTTCATCGCGTTTTTTTTAGGTTACCTTGAGGAAAGGTCATTTAATAATCATGCTCGACTTGCTTCACATTGTGGATTATAGCATCTTGAAAATTCTTTGCCTGGTGGTTCTTATCACAACAAATAACACACTACGAAGTTTTGCATGCTCAAAATGCCGATAGATGCTGCATTTTTTTATGGGAGTTTATAGACGCTTTGCAACAGCTGCGCATGGGCGCCGCCATAATCGACCTTTAGTTTTAGTTTCCTCTTATTCCGTTCACTTCACATCATCATTACTATTGCAGGCCATGTTATTGTCACGTTAGATTCTACTGTGCGTTTCTCGTCAGCTTTGGCCTCTGTGGATTATCTGTTGAGGCTCGTCAACGCTCCAATCGGTAGCTCGGTAAGACAAGGGAAGGTCAGCAATGGCGGCCCTCATCTGGCGCGTGTGTAAAGCGTCTATATTCCGAATACCTATAATGATGTTCATTACAAGTATTTCTTTTACGCTTTACCAATTGCTTAAAAAAACAACGTGAAAGCCGCACTTATGCAGCATGTCCAGGTGAGTTATATGGCCAGGTGGACATAGCATAGGGGGCTAATCGTAACAATCCGTCGGCTAATTAAGTCAAACTCGTTAATTAACCTTTGAATTAGTTAAAATAGACGTACGGTTCTAATTAAAAACTTCCTGACCGTCATCGAAAACCACTAAATCAGAAATTTTCAGAAATTCTTTGAGTGCGTGAGAAGCGTGGTAGTGCGCTAAAGATACCACACGTGTAGCGCGAGCAAGGCTACCGGTGCGATAAAGCGGCCGCGTAAGTTTTCCGCCTCCTCTTAAAGCTGCAGCCTTGCACCGGCTGCATTAGTGGTACCTTTACAGCGCCACTATGCTTCCCACTCGTTCAAAGTATTTCTAAAAAAATCTTGATGTAATGGTCTTGGATGACGCTCATCAAGTTTCTAATTGAAACCATATGGCAATTTTCACTAATTAAAAGGTTAATTAAGAAACGCTGCTTAATCACATGAGTGGTCGTTACGATTATCCTAATATACCATTTCCCCCTGGCCATACAACTCACCTGCAAAAACAGCTTTAGTGTAACATTCAAGGCTTTTTACAAACAAAGCTGTAAAGTTTAAGAAAACAGTATGGGACATTTACTTTACGTTATCTCAATCTAAATTATATGCATGCAATGTGCAATTTTTATAAAGTCGTATCTGCGCGAATAACGAAACAGCGACAAACTGTACAACTGGTCAGGCTGACCTCAACCAATTAACTATTTAAGAAGATTAGATGCAGTCGCTTACTATCCAGGGAAATTCCCGCGCTTCTGCCGGCCTCCCTCCAACAATCCTGGGCCTGCTTTTCAACTGTCTTCTACCGCAGTTACGGTCCGGCCAAACTGCACCACAAGCTACCCGACAAATAAGAACACAAATATTCATGATCGCTATTACCATCATCATCATCATCATCGATTTATTTTAAGTGCTTATGAACGGCGAAGTTGGCTCAGTTTTAATGCAGCGTATACTGATTACACATTTCGGGACGTTAATGCCCGCTCAACGATGTCGCTATACGGCATTTTATGTCGGTAATGAAACTAGCTAAGATGACGTACATTACCGTGGGTAATAATAAACCTCAATAACAAAGAAGAATTTAAACTCGAAATCGGTAAATTAGAACTCACAGCAAATGTCCTGTTTGGGATAAGCGACACATGATTAAATATTAGTCAGACTAGAACCAAACAAGCTTGAGTACCTGTGTTAAAGATTTAGATACTGGTTTTGCTAAAGGTTTTATAAATATCTTTTACGCGGTTGAGGGACTGGTAAGGCTTATGTTTTCAACTGAGAGCCTGGGAGTAACCTTCAATTTTGCTAGCCATGGATAAATACCGAAAGCTGACTTGAGGTTTGAACATTCAATTAAAATATGCATACACTTACGTGAATAAATCTTATACTGGGACAACCACGTCGTCATATATGTCTCGCGTAATCATAATACGGAAAGAGGTGAACAACGGTCAAAACGCTCTTGTGTATAACCTTCAATCTGCTATTTATAGAAGTTTAGAAGAGGTTGTACATACATATCTCATCAACTACTGTACATTTACTGTTGATACCCGAAATAAATTATATTCATGCGTATGAGGACTGTATTTATTCCTAATATAGACACGACTAAAAACGTAGTAAGCTTTATGGTTTATGTGAAGCCGGGCACAGTCTGGATATACCAGTGTACTTATTTTTTTTTTCCAGTAGAAAATGTTGCGAGATGTCTTTAGTTCACCAAGATAGCTATGTATTCTTATTGTGAACGCTTCCGTTGCAAGGAAAAGGTGTTCCGCCACTAAATTAAACTAATTTACTACGTCTGCCTTTATCCTAAAGGTGGGAAAGGTGAATATTGATTTTTTGAAGTATTACATCAACGATTGTGGGCAATAGTAAAGAGGAAGGGGCAAGTGGCCCATTTGACATGAACGCAAAAAAAACGTACGAATATTATATTTTTAAATCCATTGCTATTTTTATTAATACTTCTTTGTACACTATTTATATACAGCTGTTTTATAGTTATATATGGTGCTTGATTTTCATTCGAACAGATTTGTTGTTGTTGTTTTAATTCGCTAAGAGTGCTATTGCGGACACTATTCCTCCATTTTTGTTTGGCAACAAACTCAGTGGCGCTAGTTGTAGGGCAGCTTTGGAAGACTTACGGTCCAGGTATATTTTAACTTTGTTTTAGCATAATTGTTTCCCCATGAGAGTGAATTATACTTCACAGAGGCATAAGCAACCATTTACCGTAAAAAAAAAAGAAACTAAAAAAAGAGTGTAGAATTTACTTGCAAATATTGCGAAACCCTCCGCCTAGTTCAGAACCGCAAGTGGTTGGGAGCTATTTGAGCACTGGCGCCACCACGTTTCAACTCACGAGAGAAAGAGCGTTGCCCTGATTTATTTTTTTGACCCCATATTTGCTATGTCACCGAAAACTAAACTTTTGGCTGGTGTATATAAATATGTTTTTATTAAAAAAAAGTTTACCGTGGAGGAATTGGTGGGGGAAGGTCACCCAACCAACTTTTCAGCTGAGTTTGGGAGATAGCACTGCAAAGGCTGGGGCGCCCGAGCGTGTTGAGACGCGTTTTGAGTTCCGCTTAACTCGTGCCCTGACTTTGGCAGTGCTTTCCTTCACCAAGTTTCAGCTGAGGCGCTCTTTCTAGCATGCCGGCCCTGATGTCTCGCATGTAGACGAGATATTTCGCCAGTTCAGGATGCTCGGTATTTTATGGTGAGTTTTGTTTTCTTCTAATTAAATAGTTAATTACCAATTTCTAGTTAATTATTCGCTTAATCGGGACGACTAGCCCTTTATAATATACCTACTGGCCGTATAACTCACCGGCACAAATCGCACTCTTCTACCTTTCACGGCTTCCTTTTTTTTTTTTTGGTATGGATATATGAATTAAAAACAAGCACCCTATATTATATATTCATCTTTCAGTGATGTTTTTCAAATGGTTTAAAGCCCACCATCAGCTATACTACTTAGCGGCAATGTACAGTTCTGTGTGAATAAACCAAATGAAAACATCACTTTCTTAACAGTGCCAAAGAACAAACAAAAGTAAAACCCTGAGTGTATTCTGTCACCACTTCACTCATATTTTCTTGTATTTAAAGATACATGGCGTATTGAATTGAAATTATCGAATTTATTCCGCCTAATGTGACCACAATCAGCTCGAGCCCATAATAGTCCGCATGTATGAAAATCAATCAAAGAAGAGGTGCATATAGAAAAACAAACAATCAGGACGTAATTCTGGAAAGGTAAAAGTAAATAAACAAAACTGCATCAAACAACGGAACAGGGATGTTTGTCAGGCGGCCGACAAGGTTCATTTAAAACGTTGGAGGGGTGAAAATAAGTCTAAATCACTTCTAAGGTTATCAGAAAGGAGCTGTAGGCGCGTCATTGGGGACTGGACGCCCACTTTCAGCAGGTTAAAAAGAAATGCAAATATATGCTTGAGAGTAACAGGGAAAACAAAATTGTACTTAAAACCAAGAGTGCATCGAGCGTAGCGTTCACTATCAAGTAGAAAAATACAAATGTCATAGAGAAATCTTCATAAAATATTTCTTCATAATAACAGAACAAAATTCACAGAGCAATTAATTTTCTTCCTGGGCTAACTGCTCGTATTCCGGACTGAGCTTTTTAACATTAATGGGGCGGAACTGTTCGCGAATAATTTGTCTCTATAGTGGGGCTCTAGATAGTAGAGGTTTCCTATTAACAAGACAATGCTGTATTCTCGTAAATGTTAAGCCTGAACTAATCAATACAAGTTTTGAAGGAGAGCCAAACGTTAATCAAGCAGACAGGCAAATCAGAACGGTCAAGCGTTGTATCGGGAATTGGTAATCCACTAGACACTTCATATTCATTGCGAAAACACTTCAGCGTATTAATTTGAAAACATCGAGAGCCGTATTTATCACTATTCTAGTTGAAAGTACACCTAACCCATTCGAACAGAGTGACAGATACTCTTGCTTAACCTGAAGGACAGTTTTATACGTTTCAAACCTCCGGGAAATACCCAACACTGGTCTTTTTCGTTCTTTTTATTGTTTTTCAGAACTAACAGTGCACAATACCTATCGCTATATATATATATATATATATATATACATACCAAGTTTTTGCGGCGCGTAACTTATATCTTAAATACCTAGAAAACTAGATGAAACACTTAGGTGACTTCTTAACATCTTTAAGAGATACGTATACTTTTGCATTTAAAAATCGAAAGTTCTTTTACTGTTTTGTGTTTTTATTTATATGGCATTCATTATTACATCGGACGGTTAGGTTTCAACTTTTTTGTTCAAATAAAATTTATACTCTATATTATCTTTTCTGATTCTTTCAGACATGAATGCAATCCTTCATGACGCAATCTCTACTTTTTTTAATCTACATCCGTCTCCTTTTTCATTCGCTCGTTATGTTTGCGACTTCGGCTTATGCGACAAATTCACATATTTGAATAAGTTGACAATAAGCCTCAGACGCAACATGAATGTGAACGCAATAGTCGTGTCTAATATTTAAGTACACTAGCAAATTTTTAATGCTTACTTCCGTATATATGCTACAATAATATACTTACTCATTGTGAACGCCATAAATAAGCATGTACTTTGAATTCCGATACCCATAACGTCAGCAGAAAAAAAAACTTTTGGACTATGGTCTTTCCACTGGAAATAAAGGTACGCAAAACATATTTATATATAATAGTACGCTGTTGTTCTAAGAGTATTCGAATAATATATGTGCTGGATTGTTTAAGTAGAAATTATCGTTTTCTTTTTAACCGCTTTAAATCCAAAGTGTAACACAATTACCTTCATGCGAACGCTTTTTTTTTTTAATGAGGAGTCTCGAAATAAAAATATAAGCCAATAAATATACTTAAAACCGAAGAAATTGTGAAATATAGTTTAAAACTGTAATAACTATTTTGCCATACAGAAACAGATTTCTCGTATGTTCTTCCGGCCATTTGACCACAATACGCATGTGATGAATTGCATCTATAGGGTTACACTAACTTCCTAGCTGTGATTGAACCAATGTAGCACGATGAACAGAACAGCGCACACAAAGACAAGGACAGAGAAAAGGAACATGCAGGACACACAAGCGCTGTTCCTTTTCTCTGTCCTTGTCTTTGTGTGCGCTGTTCTGTTCATCATGTCATCATACCAACTCGCCCAACTTACTACACTTCCGCAATATAGCACAATCGTTTTGGTATTTAATCAATTCTACTTTAAAGTCATTAACAAGTTTCTGAAAATATTGCTAATATAAAGTACATGACAGAATAATCAGTTTGTCAATAGGAATTTATATGCGTGAGATTTGTGTACCTTTGGGATATGTTACATCACATTACAGATAATTCAACCGACAATGCACATCATTCAGAAACTATTTATCTATCTCCTTTACTTACTAAAACTTGTCAATCAATATTTGTATAATAATTAAATTTCCGAAAACTATCTGCTGCATACTGAGTTTTCGAGAAATGGTCATTAAGTTTAATAAAACGTCGTCCTTTAGTGCCAATTTGTAAATATAACAACAAAAACATTGCAATATCAAATTGTTTTTGTTTTTTTAAGTTGAAACCTAGTTATATATGAGTAGCATATGTGGGGGAAACTATATTATTTCATGCATGTCTTCTGGAAAATCCACCGAAAACTATAATATTAATAATGAGTACCTCGCCCCATGGGTAAAACTGTCAAATAATAGAACGCTCGAATCCTGGTTTTCACTCATCATATTATTTGTCATTAAGCTATTCCTTAAACTAATGTTTAATATCCTTCGTCTAAGAAACATTCAG